CGCAGCAGCTGGTGAATTGGGGCTTCTTTTTAAAAAGTTAAAGAACTGGGGTCAGGGGTGGCAGTGGAAGAGCAGGTGGGGGGTTGTGGGACTCATGGTAGGGGCCCCCATGCAGCACAGGGTAGTGGGGGGAAGCAGGGAATCACCCCCCTGCCTGGCAGCAGCCAATAGCTGGGGTTTGTTTGTTTGTTTAGAGCTGGGAGAATGGGTGGGGATGGAGCTTATTTCAAGATTTGGCTGCAGCTAAGTCTCTGAATCAGATTCAGCAGAATTGATTCAGGGCAGTGATTTGAATCACCGTCTCCCTGTAGCAGGATGGAACCCTAGGGTCACAGCCTGCACTCTCTGGCTTGCCTCACAGCTATGCTCCCTGGCACTTGTCAATTGCTGCCTGCTCTATGGGGCTTCTCACACTGCCCGCTCTATGAGGCCCCCTCCAACCCCTAATAGCCTCACCCAGTCCTCCGGTTTAACAACAAAAACACAAGCCAATTGGCTATAACACAAACCTATGCCTCATGACTAAAATGTCCTCCAAATCATACCACAGGTGTTCCATTACTCACCAGCATCACTAGTTGCTTGCATAGCTAGGCCTTTTCTCTTTCATATATGCAAGGCTAAGCTCCTTGGCTATAGACTTCCTTCTCCCTGGGCTTTGGCCTGCAATTTATATCTGAGCCAGGCCCTGCCCCTTCCATTCAGCTGACTAAACAGGTGTGTGTCCTTAACTCCCTCTGGTTTCCCCCTAGCAATCAGCACCTAAGCCACTACTCCAGCTTTCCAAGTAACAGGCACCTTAGTGCCCTGCTACACTCCCGAATTGGCTGAATCCGAAGTGAATACTAGAAACTTCATACAGGCCTACTTTGCAGTCATTTAGTATTTGGTCATTTAGTACTTGGTTATGCAAGTCATGTAGATGCACCCATTGACATGTAGGTTGGAATATAGCAGTGGAATCAAACTGCTGCCTAATGTGTCTCACCAGAAATTTCAAGCACCAAAAATTTGGTCTTTAATTTGCCTTCAAGAGAGAGAGGATGCTATGAATCCAAATTTTGATGATTTTTTTTATGCAATATGCAATAACACTCAAAATTAAAGAAAACTATGCAAGTATTTTCCTACCATTTATCCCTTGTAAAGACCACTAACTTTATGAAATCACTGCGGCAGTCTGTGAATAATATATGTAGTGAAAAACTACTGCAGCAAGAATATATAGACAATGCTTTCCAGTTGTCATACGCCTGTATTATTTGCTTTGAATAGCTCAGTAAAATTCTTCTGTAGAAGCCTTACAAAGCATATGTATTTCTCTGCTTGTAGAGAAGATCTTTAAAATACCAAATTTGCCTTGTCTGTGATAAATTGTTTTATACAAAAATCTTAACTTTCTGTAAAATACAAATCAACACTAAAATTGGCAGCATATTCTTTTGCAGTTTAATCTCTAGAAAAAATCATGAAGGAAAAGGTTTTGGTGGTTGAAGCAAGTGATAAAGATAACAAAAAAATGAATGAGTTAAGGTAGGTGCAATTCCACTGATGCCTATAGAATTTTTTACAGTGATAAATTTAAATGAGAGGTATGTCATTACAAGAAAGTGCTGGCTCCAACTGTGACATTTTTTTAATTCAGGGCCAATAAAATAGCTAGTCAATTTGCATCTTAAAAGATGATTTGGAATATAAATAGGAGAAGATCAGAGTACCATGATATAGCAAGTCCTTTGAAAGTCTCTTAACGTTAGTTAATAGAGAGAACTTCAAAATCAATACATGACTTTACTGGAAGTCAATGTGAACTCATTAAATAACAGTAATATACTACAAAGCTGGAATATTTGCAAGAATCCAGGCCATTACTATCTGAATAAACTGTAACTGGGAAGTTAAGATTGGGTGCTGTGTAAGCAGAGTTTAAAGTTTTTGCACTTCTGCAACAACAACAAAGAGCAGTCATAAGAAACTCAAGATCCTTTCCTCAGAGAATGGATTTCATTCTGGTAATGTTGCAGAAGTGACTTAGACTTTTCTTATTCTGAGGTATGCTAGAGGGAGCCTGAACTGGCTGTACTAAAATTTGGCTGAAGAAGCAGACAGTTTCATTTTGTGTGAAGAGAAGCCAGTACTTTGCCATCTCTGAAATGAAAGAAATCATTTGGAAATAGAGAAGCTAGCAATCCTGGGAATGTTGTCCATCACTGTATTGTGAAAGTTGTTTATTTTTTGCATGTTGACAGGTGTAACAATTATACACATTTAGCAACAGGTGTAGCTTTAATCCTGTTTCATCCAGGGTGATTTAGCTAGCTGGGATCCCTATAGGAACATCCAAGGGAACAATTACATCATAATAGCTGATGTGGGCCCTGTTACTATGGGTGTGGGGAAGCATGAACAGCCCCATAGCCTGGGAGCACTTCCCCATACCCACCCCAGACCTGGAAGGACTCACCGAAGGCTGAGGATCCAAGTCCAGGGATGCAGTGAGCCTCCCAGCAAGGGAGTTAACCCAGGTGTGGCACATGAGGAAAAGCCAGCTTTGTGGACCAGCAGGGGTTGCTGCACCAGCAGGGAGCAAGGGTGTCTGGAGTTGCCAGGGGTCAAGCATCCTCCAGGAGGGGCTGAGGGCAAGGTTTCTCCCTGCAGGTTCTTCAAAGCCTCTGAAAGATAAGAAGTGACCAGCAGATGAAGCCAGCAAAGAGCTGCATGAAGCCAGCAAAGAGCTATGTGGCAGTTTATTTGTTTAACTCTGTTTACTCATTTTGCATTTCTAAAAAGTCCTGTGTGGCCTCATGGTGTTATCTACTAGCTCTGCTTCAGTGGAGGCAAGGACCTGAACAGTGAGTCCTTAGCCAAAGCCAGTGGCAAAAGTAAAAGTGGTCAGCTCTGCTGGTGTGACCAAACATGCCTGGCTGGAATCTGTCCAAAAAGCTATCTATAGCAGTGTACAGTCCTCCAGGGACAACTCTCCACTCATTCTGTCTCCAAGTTACTTCTGGCTTTGTTTCTCTTAGATATGGCTACAGAATCCTGATTAAACCAAGAGATTTCAAACAAAAAACAAGAGTTTAAAAGAAAGCCCACGCAAGTACATTTTTCAGTTTTTTTAAGCATATTTTCCCTTTTCTCTTTGTAAGCAGTTGCTTGTGTTTTGAGCAAGAGACTTCCCTTTATCTTCCTTTTCCAGTAATGCTAGTAACTATACCTGACAACCAAAACCCAGGAAAAAGCCAATCTGTTTAACGGGTACTTCGTGTTGGTTTTTCATCAACCCAAAGGGGACCGCCCTGCCTAGCATGATGTGGGATAGCCAGGGTGAGGGTGAATTTATACCCAGCATCAGTGTAGACCTTGTGAAGGAACATGGAGAGGCTGAACACCTTCAATTCAGATGGTCCTGACAAATTGCACCCCAGAGTATTTAAGGATCTGGCAGGAGTCATAGCCCAACCACTGGCAAAGATATTTGAAAACTCCTGGCACTTGGGTGAAGTACCTGAATATTGGAAGAAGGCCTATGTGGTGCCCATCATCAAGAAAGGAGGAGAGAGGAGTTGATCCTGGGAACCACAGGCCAACCAGCCTGACCTCAATGCTGGAAAGATTCTGAAAAAAAATATCAAAGAGACTATTCTTGACAAGCTGGCTGATGGCAACATACTGAGGGACAGCCAGCATACTATTAGGGTGACAATATTTGCATCTTGGGGAGCACTGGATTTGCAGCTGAATAAAGGCTTTAATCTGTGGCTCAGCAAAGCTGCTGACCACAAGGCAGAATGATATATTAAAGGTAATATTGCAAGACACTTAAGCAAGCATTTTCTTAACAATATAATAGTGTTGTAAGTTATATAGCTCTTATATATAAGATTTTGGTTATGAATGCTTATGCTAAGCCAGCCATTTGCTTATGCTATATAACCATCTTAACTGTGTGAACCATTTTTCTGAAAAAGAAGCAAGTGAGTCTTTGTCAGTCTGTGTGCTGTGAATGAGGTGAAGTCTTAGGAATGTGGAGATGATACAACATGGGACTGAAAAACAGACTCAAATGTAAAAGGCAACATGTAACTGGTAACAGAACCTGAGATAAACATATGCAAAAAGGTGAATGGTGATTGGTGAAGAGGCCTGCAGAAGCTTCCAGGTTTTGGTCAAAGTCCGCCCAGTGACTGAAGAAGTGGAGTCAAGGTCTTAGACATGCATTCATAGCAAAAAAAAACATGTCAATAAGTTAAATACATAGGCAATTCCATGCTAATGAAACAAACAGTAAACAGAGCCAGAGCTTAAAATGGGAAGAACTAAGGGTGGAACAAAGGAGGGACAAAGGTGGAGTAAATGTTAATGAGTATAAACCAAAGTGTATAAGTATGGAAAAAAACTAATGTTCACTGCAGCTCCCCAGTTTCTTTGGGAGCTAGTCCAAAGCTGTCTTCATTTTGAATAAAGCTGTTGTGAGCACTGTGTGCTGGTGTTTGCTCTCTGAGCAATTGGATCATCGTCTCCCTAGACATTGGGCGCCACATGGAGTCAGGGTCTAACAATAACCAGGTGACATATCACCTGAACAAGGGAGAAGAGATTGGCATTATATATCTGGACTTTAAAAAAGCCTTTGATCTGGCGTCCCATGTTCTCCTCATGGAAAAATTGGGCAACTGTGGCCTCTGCTACACCATGGTTCAATGGCTGGGGAATTGGCTCTGAGTCTGGACCCAGGGAGCGATGGACGGCAGAGGTGAATCATCACGGTGCTTGGTGTCCCCCAAGGCTCCGTCCTTGTACCTGTTCTCTTTAACATCTTTATCAACGATGTGGATACTGGTGTCAGAAGTGAACTGACACTAAACTTTGGGGTAAAGCGTCCACACCTGAGGATAGGCTGGTGATCCAAGCTGACTTGAATAGACTTAAAAAGTGGGCAGATACAAACCTGATGACATTCAATACAGACAAATGCAAGGTACTTCACCTTGGGGGAAAAAAACCCACAGCATGCTTATAGGCTTGCCAGTGCTACGCTCACTAGCATCATGGTCAAAAGAGACTCGGGTGTCATGACTGACCACAAGATGAACATGAGCCACCAATGTGATGTTGCAGCTGGTAGATCAAACCAAACTCTGGCTTGCATCCATAGATGCTTCTCAAGTAAATCTCAGGATGTCATCCTCCCACTGTACTCAGCCTTGGTGAGGCCGCAGCTGGAGTACTGCATCCAATTCTGGGCACCACAATTCAAGAAGGATGTGGAGAAGCTTGAGAGAGTCCAAAGGAGAGCCATGTACATAAGCAGAGGACAAGAGAATAGGCCTTATGAAGAGAGACTGAGAGCCATGGGACTCTTCAGCCTGGAAAAGTGCAGGCTCAGGGGGGACCTGGTGGCAGCCTGTAAGTACATCAGGGGTGTGCGTCAGGATCTGGGGAAATGCCTGTTCACCAGAGCACCCCAAGCGATGACAAGGTCCAACAGTCACAAACTCCTCCAAGACCATTTTAGGCTGGACATAAGCAAAAACTTCTTTACTCTCCGAGTCCCCAAGTTCTGTAATAGACTCCCTCCAGAGGTGGTGCAAGCACCTACTCTGGACTCCTTTAAGAAGCATTTGGATGCTTATCTTGCTGGGACCTTTGACCCTAGCTGACCTCCTGCCCTTGGGGCACAGGGCTGGACTCAATGACCTTCTGAGTTCCCTTCCAGCTGTAATGTCTATGGAATCTATGAAATCTAGTGCATTTATGAAGCTTTCCAGTTTTGTTCTAAGCTTAAAAAGTGCATTTTCAAGGAGAACATTCCTAAGGGTTTACTTTCCTGAGTTTTGTACAAATGGGTCTGTTCATTTTTATCTCCATTGGCTTTAACTTTAATAGCCTGAGAATGTCCCTTTAATATTATTTGCTGGGCATGTCTACCTGTGTAATTTATTGCAAAACAATAAACTCCTGCACATATCACGTTGGAGTTTATTGCTCCCAGGCACACTGTATGAACATGCATTTAGGACCGCAGCATGTTAAGCCTGGTCAGAACAGCCCCAGCTAGCAGGAGTTGAGCCTGACTCAACATGCTGCAGAGGGGCTGGCTGGGTGGGGCATGAGGATGCTCCAGTGTGGGGTGAGCCAGCAGGCAGCCCCTACACTGAAGCACCCTCATGCTTCAGCCACCTTGGGCACCGTCTACATATGCACTGCTGTGGAGTTTTTCACTCCGCAGCAGTGTAGTACTTGTATTTACTGTAAGTACAAGTCCGATCCTGTTGTGGAGTTTATTCATTTACTCTAGCCTAATAGGGATGTGCATGTAGATGTGCAACATTTAATGCAGACATAATTAATCTACTCCGCTGTAAATGTGTCGTGTAGACGTGCCCACTAGGTATCAGGAAAGAAAACTCTTTCCTTCCTTCTTAGGTGAGTGTGCTTTCTGCTTGGACAGAAAGTTGGAACTGGTGCAGTACTATGTGGTTACAGATTAGTTAAAAAAAAGCTCAGAATTATGTAGCTCATTAATAAGTCTCAGGGCTTTGGTTTAAGGTACTTCCAGTAAAGGGGGACATAGTGGACATGTATACATGTGCAATTAGTGCTGTATGGGTTTACTCCACAGTAATTTACTATGAGTCCTCCAGCCGCTCCTCTGCCATAGTGACCAGCTGGTCCAGCAGCTGGGTCCAGTCCTTGGTCTGCTGCTGCCAGGTGTGCTGCATACAGAAGGCCCTTGCCGAGACTGGCACTGACCCTGATGGCACATCCCCACATGCAGCTGGTGGCTCTCCCCCACGTGCAGCTGCTGGAGCTGCAGAGCCAAGAGAAGGAGGCTGTTTGTGAAAGTTGGCAACATTTCTGAGATAACATGTACAATACCAGGGGGGCTGTGCACTGCCCGGCCTCAGATCAGGGGTCGTGTGCCCACAGGTGCCTAGGGACCATGGTAAGTCAGCCAGGCAGGTGCCTACCATCTGAGTCTCTCGTCCCCACTTGCTCCACAGGGGCAGATGAGCCACTGGGTGCTTGCCACAGGCAGTCTGCCTTTCCTGTCCCCTTCCCAGCCTGGGACATTTTCCTCCTGTAGGCCAGACCATCTCTTCTGCTGCCAGGCCCATGGCTCATGGGCTTGAGTGGCAAGGAGCTCACAGCTGACTGGGACTCAGAGCTGCTGGTACCTATGCCCTCTCCCCAGTGGGCCTCTTCAGAGGGGAACCCTAAGGCCAGCCTCACCCCATGCCAGCCCTGTACCCTGAGCATGCCCCTGCTGATAGCATCCTGGATGGACCAAGGGGTGCCCAACTCACTATGCCCTGCTGCTGCTGATTTCCATGGTGCCCCAAGCACCCCTGAGAACCTGGTGTAGGACCCAGAGCTTCAATGGTGCAATGGGGAAGCCTGCACTGCCCCGCAACATTCACCACTGCTTGGAGGGGTACCTGTGCCTACACTACATGCCCTGCCTCCTGCAGCCAAGGATGACATTGCCGCCAGCACTGATGTATTTCTCTGCACGTGGGAGGTCTGTGCCTGCCTAGCTGAGGGGCCACAAGCTGCTTAATAAAGTTTGCACTCCCTCCCACTTCCCTGCATGCTGTGGGGAGAGGGGAAGAGTGGGGGGACTCCAGGGCACAGGTTCAGCTTGGCTGGGCCAGGCAGGAGCAAGGGCAGGGGCAGAAGTGGGGAGGGCCGTTCCCCCAATGTGGGGCTTACCAGGTGGTCATGGCAGGAATGCCCAGTGGCCCAAGTCTGTCCCTGCCAGTAGTGTCTTGGGGTGTAGGGAGGACCTGGAGCTGCTGAGGACAGGTGATTCCATGGCCAGGCTGTCCTAGGCAGGCCTGTGCACCCATAGCTGATGGGGCAGGTACTAGCCTGCGCTGCCAGAACGGCTGGATGATGCTGGGGGCAGGAACCATGGTGGGATGGGCTCCTGGCACTCCAAGGGGCCCTCCCTTGCTGACACCTTGTTGCAGCTGCCAGGCCACAGCAGAGGCTTGGGCAGGCTGCTCATGCTGGAATTCATGGTGTGGATCCAGCCAGACTCCTGGGGCATGAGGATGTGTTCCAGCTGCTGCATAAAGGGCATGGCCTTCTAGCAAGCCCCCAACCAGCGATTATGGTCAGTGATGCTGACCCACTGTGCCCACAGGGCCTTGACCTTTATATGACACTGGTGTGCCGACCAGTCATGCCCATGCTTCTCCATGCAGCCTGACAGGCCCTCACAGATGTGGGTGTTGGACTGCTGGCTCCAAACAAATTGGTTCAGGACCTCAGCCTCACCCCAGAACACCACGAGATCTGTGGTCTCCTCCTGGGACTAGTTCTGCCCCTGGAAGGCACTGTGTGCTATCAGGGACGATACCAGTGTGGCTTCTTTGATGGCCCTCATGGACTGCATGCAACAGTCTGGGTGCCTACAGCACCCAGCGCAGGGGCCAGGCTAGTGCATGGCATGCACCCTGTCCAAATTCACAGATGATACCAAATTATGGGATAAAGTTAATACACCAGAGGGTAGGGAACAAATCCAGGTGGATCTGGACAGGTTGGAAAAATGGACGGAACACAAAAGTATGCACTTCAATAAGGACAAATGCAAGGTGCTGCACCT